GTCCTGCCCCCCCGCGCCCCCTCCCCAAGGTCAGCTGAAGAAGGAAGCGGGTGAAAAGCACATGGTGGGTACAGCACAAGCAACAGAGGAACAGCACGGCAGCTCCCCAGGCCGGGCTTTACCCATGGGTGGGTGAGCTGGCACGGGTAAAATAACAGCTCAACAGACTTTGTATGTCCAAATTAAAACCAGCAATGATAACAAGCACCCCCCCCCCGAGAGCTGCACTTTAACCCCCCCGCACGCAGCATTTCGGGGGCTTTTGTAATTTTTCTTTCAGTGTCACGCATGTGTGCTCTGGGGTCCCCGGTTGGCAGGCGGTGGCCGGCGGCAGCAGCCGCTGCTCTTCGTGGCTGCCGGCCAGAAGGACCGGCAAGCTTGGTGGGAGCCTGGCCTTGGGGTTCCTTGCCTGTCTTTTTCAGGCCCTTTCCCAAAGGTATGGCAGAAGGAGGGTAAGGAGGCAGGAGGTCAGATGCTTGTTGGCTTCAAACCCAAAGGCTTTCCACCCATGGTGGGCTCCCACCAGCAAAGCTCCTGCTGCTCCTCTGAGAAGGATCCTTCTCTGCCTTGCGTGTATACACATTTATATAGAGATATAGATATCTGATAAACATTTTGTATGAAAATAAATACTTCATCTGTGTGTTAAGGACCATCATCGCTCTCATCTAGTCACCTGCTATAATGCTATATCTCTTTTTTGTCCATGACTACCTTGTTCCCATTGCTATTTTCCTAACCTGCAGCCACCTCCTCCCTGCCTCCTGGGGCAGCAGAAAGCACTGCAGCAGGCAGAGGCGCACCTTTTGGCAGCCACTCTCTCGTCGCGGCTCAAGATTTGGCTTATTATAGGAAACTTTATGAAGAAAATGTTTCCCTTTACAGCACCTGTTTCTTGATAGAAGAAATTATCTTCATCTTGAAAACACTTTACAAAGAGCAAGGTTTTAACATCCTCTTCCAGGGCTCTCAATTAAGAAATATGTCTCTAGATAGCACTGTTTATATAGATATAGGTATAGTTTTTATTTATTTTTATTACCAACCCAACATTTCAATTTGTAGCCATTGATGTAATTCATGACATACTCTCGTGGTGGTTTGGTTTGTTTTTTTTTTTTTTCTTAAAAAGAAATGCATGTCAATGAAAAGGATGCCCTTTTGTCTGTCTGGCATTCCTAAAAGTTACTTGAGATACTACAGGAGTCCTGATGTGGGTGGCAGTTTTTAAGCCCGTACCTTTCAATGGCCTTAAGACCACCAGCAAGATGCGGGTGCTGTGAAAACTGGGGTAGCAAATGAGTGAAAAGGCAGCCACGCCACAGCTTGGGGTGAGACGGCACTGGGAACATATGGGTGGGCACACTATCTGGGTTTTCCTGAATTCATTTCCACCTCCGAGCAGGAGGACCACACAGCAAACCCACCACTGCCACCATCCCAAGGAGCCGGTACCACTTTCCCTGGCTCCCTCCCCCCGACTCCCAGGGCAGGCTATTCCTGGGTAGCCATTTATTTCTTTATCAATTGTAAATGAACATAATTTTCTCTCCCTGCAGTACCACAAGCTTGAAGTTAATTATACAAAGAGAAATGCCATAGTCAAAATATACATGTTACGTATTATATTAGAGGATTGGGGTTTGGTTTTTTTTTTTTTTACCTCCTCCTTTTTTTCTTAGCCCAGGCAGGTGGTTGAGATGCTACATGCTCCAGCCTTTGTCACTGATTGTGTGTGTCTGTGTTTGTATTAAAAATATATCAGTCTTGTGATGTTCTTAAAAAAGAAAGAAATGGAAGGCGATGAGGGAGGAAACAAGTAACAGTGAAAAAGTTCTTTGACTGTGTCACAGTCTTTTGTGGCTTCAAAAAATACACATGTTCAATTCCAGCACTGACGGCAGCTTGAAGCTTTAGAGTAGGTTTTTAACATTTTTCTGGTTTAGTAGTAAAAAAGGAAAAAAACCCCAAGCACTGTGCCCCCCCAAACCAAAAAGCAACAAGCAAATGAAAGAAAAAAAAGGAAAAAAAAAATCAAATTCCTGATCAGCCTTCTGCAATTCCCAACCAGTAAAAATAAGAAAATCTCTCCTTACAGTGGAGGGGTGCTCAGGAGGAAAGCAGACAAGCCCCTACAGGAGAAGTGGCCTTTGGAGATGGCTGAAACTTCTTAATCTCATTGAATGGGGTCAGTGGCTGGGTTTATTCTGTTTTATTTCAACACTTGCCATTGTTGCTGTCTTTTCTTTTGTATCATTTTGGGTGGGTTTTGTTTGGATTTTTTTTTTCACTCTGTGATGGTTTTGCCCTTCTTGGCACCCAGCTGTCTGACTGTCCGGGCAGTGGCGGCCCCTGACGGACAGCCGTCCCCTCCGGTGAAACCACGCTTACAGGACTGGTGTCCGGTGAGGTAACGGAGGAGGGGGTCCCTCCCCCCGGCAGCACGGTCCCTCCACCACCTAAAACCCCTTGATGTAGCAATAGGCCTCCAGGGTGGCAAAGAGGATGTACAGCAGCCAGAGGCTGACGAAGAGCAATGTCGTGGCCAGTTTGCACCCCCGGGGGCCGCCCAGCTCCCCCCCAATGTGGGGTCGCCGGCGGTAGAGGAGGACGCTGATGCAGATGAAGGCGAAGATGGTGAAGAGGGTGACGGAGAAGGCCAGGGTGCCCGCCGACACCTGGAACTCCTGCCCCTGTGACGCCCAGTAGATCGCCGCCACTGACCACGCCAGCCCGATGCCCAGGAAGACGTTGACGGCGTTGCTGCCCGTGACATTGCTGATGGAGGCGTCAGCATACACATCCTGGATGGCTGCAGCTTTGCTGGCGAATGTGTCTGAGGTTGGAGGAGGAGGGAAGGAGAAATCACTGGGGGTCCGACAGGAGAAATGGGCAACCCTTCAAGTCTGGGGGACAAGGGAGGCTCAGGTGTGGCACTGGCCAGGCTGGGACATGGATCCCAGGTCCAGGGACCCCACGTTGCACCCAAGTGGGGTGCAGACCTTGCTTGGGGACAGAGCACCATGGAGCCCCTTCCCAGCCTAAACCCCATCCCCATGATGGAGCTGCTCCCCTGGGGCAGGAGAGCTGCCAGAGGACTTCCCTCCCACCTTGTCCCCTCCCCATGGCCACCTCACCTGGTACAGAAGTGCCGAAGGCGACAAAGATGACGGCAGTCACTGAGTCCTTGAGGCCAATGGTGCAGCCGAAGTGGGAGGCAAGGTCGCCGATGACGGCCGTGAGCATGCCAATGATGAGGATGGAGACGACGAAGCAGGCCCAGCCGTTGCAGTACTCGGTGGGGGGCACGCAGGCAAACAGCACCTTCCAGAAGACGGTCAGGAAGTGCATCACGTAGTCGAAGCAGGACGGCAGGCGCTCCTCGCCAGACTCGTCCTCATCCTCATCACCCGCTGCAAACAATGTGGAAGGTGAGGTCCAGCGCTCATGACGGGGCAGGTCAAGATTGCAGGGGTGGGCTGCAGCCCATGCTTGGCCCCCGCACCCCAGGGCTCCACGGACGCTGCTCTCCTGGGACAAGGTGGCGTGGTGCCGGCCACAACAGTGGGCTCAGGGCGCACCAGGTCCCTCAGTGACGGGTGAGGCTTGGCAAGAGGGGTGCCTCCCAAGACACCCCAGAGCCTGCGGGGCTGGGGAGTGGCAGAGCAACATGCTGTACCCACAGAGGGGCAGCCCCACCCTCATCCCTGTTCCCGTCCACAGGCAGTCACATAGTATGTAGTCAGAATGTGGAGATCACTGTTGAGGGGCACCATGAAGTCACAAATGCAAGTGATGTTTTGGGGGAGTAAAATAGCAGAAAGTGGTAGAATTGGGAAAATGGAGTGAATTCTTGGTCCTCCTGCACCAGAGCACAGGCTAGTCACCAGCAGTGCTCCAGCAGGAAACTTCTCATCTGTGTGAGGGTATCAGCAGCAGCCCTGCAGCCCCTTGGAGGGGTTCCCTCCTTAGGCTGGTGGGCCAGGTCAGCCCCAAGGCTGAAAGCACTGCTGGTCTCTGTGCAGGTACAGGACAATGGACATAAATTGGCAAAAGAGAAAGCAAGTAGGGAGCACAGAGCAGATGGCACGGGAAGGAGAGAGATGAAGAGGGAAGGAGGCCTGCTTGCTAAAGGGATGGAAGTACTGTTTCCACAGAAGCCGTTTCTCTTAATTGCTAGAAAGAAGAAAACTGAATACCCCGCACCTCTTCTTTCATATCAGAAGAAGCCCTTGTGGCCACTGGTGACAGCTCCCACTCAGCTGCCTGCCTGCTTCCCGTACTATGGCTGGGTGGAAAACAGCCCTTCAGGAAAGATGCCAAACCATCAAGGAAAGGTTCAGAAAGGTGCCTGAGTGTCATTAATGGCATGGACATGCCTAAAAGGTCTGCTCCATGGCTGCCTGGCTCTGGAAGCGGTGAGCTCTCTCAGGCTCCCTGGGCAACAGCTGCAGGTCTCTGGGCCCTTCCCTCCACCAGCTGCTGCTTCGTGGGGCAACATCTCCTGCCCATATGCAGTGACCCTCCCTACTCCCAGAGACTCTGCTGGCCATGGCAGACAGGACATCTTCCAGCAGCAAGACCTACCTGAACAGGACAGCACTGGGCACACCAGGAGCCAGCAGCCTGGCCAGGATGGGATTTTGCTGCCTGTACACTGCTCATCAGACCACTGAAGCAGCAGGAGCACCACCAGCAGAAGTCTTTGAAAACTGGTGTCCTGGATGGCTCCCCACCAAAAGATGGATCTCCTGGGCTCCCAGCTAATGCATCTGCAAAAGCCCAGCATATCTGGAGCAGAGGAGCTCTTTGGACTGGCTTTGCTGATGACCCCCACGCACACAATAGCTGAGCATCACTGACCAGGCAGATGCTGTCTCCTGAGCCCAGACAGATCCCATCCCAGGTTGCATGGACCCTGGGGATGCTGGTGTGGGTTTTCTGATGTCCCCCTCACCTGCGCTGACAGTAATGGCCTCCATGAACTGGTCCCTCCAGGAATGTGTCCCTACAACCAAAGCCAGGTTTGTCTTCTTAATCAGCTTGTCCACGGTGCTCTGTTGTGGAAATAAAGATGCACAGCAATTAAACTGGCTGCCAGCAGGCAAGACTGATCTTTCAGTGCACTGTGGTCTCATAGACCCTTCCCAAACTGTGGAGGTGCCACAAGCACTCTCCTACCAGTCAGATGAGGCCATGACTGGAGTTGGGCCCACCTTCTCCCTGGACAGACTGACCCAAACCTCACCAGAGCCTGCTGCTTTGCCACCCTTTAGTCCAGAGGATTCTCCTTCTTCCCTCACCCCTGCCTCACCAGAGATAGCTTTGCTCCTGCCCTCTCCTGCACACTGGCTTCTGCTTCCAGCAGGGCTCCCTTCTCTTCCTCCCTTCACCTCTGCCTACCAGCAACTACATCACCTGGCACTTCTTGTAGGCTTCTCCCACACTTTATTGCATTCTGTACTCCTTTTTATCTTCCAGCAGCCCTTTCCCTGCACAGGCGGCCACCCCCAGCCTCCTCAGTTCTGCTTTTCATGGCTACTCTCAGTGCCACACAGCTTTCCCCTCCTGTAGGACACCTGGGACAACTACTGACCTTGAACTCATAGGACTCCTCAATGATGACTTCTAGTTTGGGATGCTCGCCAAGTATTGGTTTGCCCATCTCTGCAATCCTCTTGGCTTCCTCCTCTTCAACCGTCAGCTTCCTCTCAGCCACCTCTGTGAAAGCAAGGTCAAAAACAAGCTGTAGACAGCAGCCCTGGAGCACTGGGGCACTGCGGGGGCTTGTCTGCAGGGCCTGAGCACAGGCTTCTGCAGCCCCTTCACAGACTGCTAAACTCATGCAGCGATTTGGGGGGGGCAGTGGTGGGGCGCTGGACCACAAAAACAAAGGACCAAGATTTCTGAGTATCAGTCACGAAGAACATAAACAACACGGTTTTAATTTATTTAAAAAAAAAAACCAACCCAAATCTTTCTTCAGCCTGCATTGGTGCTCTCAAATGACATATGCCCTCCCATCATCCCTGCAGCAGCCACATCTATAGGGAGACCAAGGTACCCATTGGTTCTGCCATTTGGCTTACGTGCCCTTTAAGACAGCTTTCATGCCCTGGCATGCTTCCTGGTTTGAATGAACAAGAGACAGGATCTTTTTTTTTCCCTTTTGATTAGAAAATCACTTTGGCACCCTGTGTCACTCAGTGCTTGATCTAACTCTCAGGCAGACACACACAGTCACAACCACACACGCACACATGTACATATTCCTAGCACTTGGAAAAATGAACAGGAAGAACTAAGTCAGGAGCCAAGTGGGTTTTTGCTTTCCCGTTACTGGATGTTTAGTTTCTGCTGGAGGAAACTAAACCAGGACCCCAGGTCAGCAGATGCCACTGTGGGGCAGGAGGGGTGCCCCACTGGACTGCCCAGTGGGGGGGGGTGCAGTATGCTGAGACAACTCTGTGTTGGGGTCACCTTGCTGATGCCCCAGCAAACCCAGAGAGGTGCCTGGGGAGTTTCTGGTTGCGTGGATGGGAAGGAGGACCCCGACCAGCAGGGGTGGCCCTGACCCAGGTCTCCTCTCTCATTCACACTCCCAAGTGCAGGCACATGCCGGTGGGCTCTCTGAAAAGTCTTGACATCTCATGAAAGAAGTTGGATTTCCCTGGCTTTCCTGTGCCTGACCAGTCAGGGAGTACAAGCTGCAGCACGGGGCCCAGCTGAGCCCGTGAGTGGCAGCTGGAGCTCTGCAGAACCTGGCGGGGTATCACAGACATAGAGCATCTTGTTCTGGCTGAGCAGCAGGTCAGATGTTACCCAAGGTTTCCTCTAGAGTTTACAAACACCCCAGGTAATGCCTCAGATGTGATTAATCCCATGTGGGCTCCAGCAGATCTCATACTCTGCACCAAAGATCACACAGAAATTATGAAATGCCAGTGAAATCCAGCTATAAACTCTGCCTTCTCTTTATCAACCCAGCTAGACTGATTGCAAAGACTGTAAACCTTGCAAGTCCTGCAGAGTTTATAAAATATATAATAACTCCTGTGGCAGGTGACATTATTATAACCCATCACAGGAGCAGAAGCAGCGACATCCATCATTTGAAATCAATGACATACATCAAAACCATCATTGCCTACCTCAAAGACAGTGTACTCTGGATTTGGGAATCCCCAAAAGTCTACAAATACTGAGACAGGGGAGCACACCACCTAGAGAAGGTGGCAGGCAACGTAGACGGGCAATGCAGGATGCCAGAGGGGTAAGGGGGCAACTGCAGGCAAAGGCCAAGCAAGCACAGAGGGGAGGAGAAAGCTGAGCTGGAGAAGTGCAGAAACAGGGGCAAACTTGGACAAAATGGTCTGCCTTATGCTACACTTGGAGGCATGAACTGATGATCATCAAGAACAAGATTCAAGTTACTTATATTCACTTGAGCAGGGAATTGGATGAAATCTTCACCTCTTTTTCTAAGACAGAGATTGAGAAGGTCAAGTGTCTGCCTCTGCCTGGCAGTGTTTCAAGATGACAAGCTGTATCCATAGTTGAAAATGCAAGCGCTTACACATCAGTTACCGTACCATGTACATGGCTTGCTTCTGTCTGAGCTCTCCCATAACCTGAAGCTCAGATGAGGAGGCACCCTCAGCTCTGCAAGGCCCAGCTTGGGAGATGAGCTGAGTGCGTGCCAATATGTGCTGACACTACTGAGCTGAGCAAAAGCACAGCAGCCATCCCAGCAGGGTTGCAAAGCCCGGACTCAGGGACAGTCTGGCTCACTACAACCTTTGCTGGGAAGTAACTACATCAGAAAAGCTGTGCTTGCAGCTGGCGGCACAGTCCCTTGGGCTCTCGCCCACTGGCTGCAGCTGCATAGCGCAGAAAGTAAATGCCTGGAATCAGAAGAGCTGCCCTGAAAACAGGAAATATCAGGTAGAATTTCCTCAGCTTAACAACTCCAGGAGAAATGATGCAATGAAGCCTTGGTCCCCACTTTAACTGATTTGACAAAAGCCTTTGGCATGGTAAGACAACACGGAGTCTTGTGCATGTATTGGCTAGCTAGGCAAGGCTGAGCTGCAGGCAGGTCCGTAAGCACATGCAGTGCAGAATGCCTTCTCCTCCCTGTAGGTAGCGGTATCCAACACGGCTTTATCCCAGAACCTGGCATGTTGCTCATGCTGGTTTATGTACCTGTGCCAGGCAGGACAGCGTGAGACCCGATACCCTCCTCTGAGGAGGGAGACCTGCTCTGTCTCTTCTGACTGTGTGCCAGGCGCAAGGCTGTCAAGCAGGCTGCATGGGAACCCCCGAGTCCGTGGCCAGAGGCAGGACCTTCGACTGCTGTCAGATGGCTTCGTTGTCTCTGCAAGCCACTTGCAGATCACCTACCGATTTGATGAGCACAGCAATCACTTGCCAGGTAGCTCGGTGTAAATCAAGCGACACGTCCATGACCAGGAGTGTACAGATTGCTCTAAACCTGGGGGCTGGGTGCAGTGTAAGCACGGGACTGGGCACTCCACCAAAGCAAAGGCACTGTGGGACTTGCGCTATTTCAGAGGGCACTTTGTCAGTGGAAGAAGTGCCACCAGAGGCACCTTCAAGCCCTAGGTGGGCCGCTCACGGTGAAGGGACAAGCTGGCCAGTGGTGGAGACCTGCAGCCTGCTGACAGCACATCCACCGAGACATGAATAATGGAGGCTCTGCTGTCACCATGCAGCTCCTCTGCGGTGAATTCGGTGAACTGGGGCGCAGAGAGAAGAAACACGGTTGCCCAAGAAGGCACGTCAAGGATGTCCTGTGGGGGCAGTTGATTGAACACCACTGACAGGCTAAAACCTTTCAATGTCAGCTGCAAGCAAACTGCAGGAGAACAGGCATAGGCAGCATCTCCAAATGGATACCTCGCAGAAATGTTAATAGAGGAAGCTTGCAGATAATGAAAAAAGGAGGTAATTCCTTCACGCCTCATTAAAAAGCAGTCACATTTGTGAATGTGCAACAGGAAAGCAAAGCACAGAAACCTAACAAACTTCAAAGGTGCATCTGAAAACACTGAGCCTGCCATTGTATTTTCTCTGAGCCTCTATCCTAATGTAGGAGACAGAGTTTGAGTCACATGTCAATATTGTGCTGGATCTTGCTCAATGCACTCATGCAACTGACCCATAGGTGCCACATACCAGGCTGCTGATTGTCCTCTGAAGTTAGAGCAGTGCCATTTGTGGTAGGAAGGACAAGCTTAAGAGCCTAGTTGACATGTCTCTTGCCCCACTCTATGCTCACCATACAATTAAGGGGAGAGAGCACCTCCAAAGAGCAATGCAAAGCACCTACATGAATCTATCGCTTCTCCCTACCTACCATTTAGGACACTTGAGCATCCTGTAGCATGAATCAGTGCCAACCTCTGCAAGACACTAGACCCCAACCTGAACCTGCTCCAGGCCTGCTGGGACTGCCTGTTCCCATGGGATGCTGAGGACTGAGTTGAGCCCTGTGTGTACAGATCCAACAGCTGAGAGGGAATAAACTTTGCAACATCCCAATGGCAGAGCACACTCCCGATGCTCCTGCCTTTCAGGGAGGCACTTCAGTCAGCAGCACGGTGCACCAGCCTGCCTTCAGAGCCACAGGAGGCCACTGTCTCTGCAGCAAGTGTGGGGCATGCTCCCATGCAGGCTATGGTAGCCACAGGCCCCCACCTCCTGAGGGACCAGGTGTAGGGATGGGGGACTTGGAGGGCTCCTCCAGGAAGCAGGGACAGGTGAGATGTGTCACACACCACCCCGGTGCCTGCAAAGACAACTATCAAGGGCTGTGGTAATGAAACACAGGGGGTGGGGGGGAGAGACAGACTTTTAATTTGGAAGGTCAAGTCCGTCAAGGTGAATGATGCTGAACTGCAGCTTAATTATTAACTAGCCTGATTTCTGTTTGTATCAGCATCAGTAACTACTTTTCAATGTGGACTGCACGCTGTCGACCCCAATTAAACCTGATAAGGTCTGGCTATGCCCAGCAAGAACAGGAGCCTGCCAGGACCTCCTGGGCAGCCTCCACCTCCTCCCTGGGAAGGGGAAGGTGGGAAGGGAAGGGTCCCCTAAACCTTGCCTGTTCTGGCACATAGGTGTGTGCTACCATCGAGTGCTAGCAACCTATCTGGGCTACAGGAGCATGCGCAGGCTGCTAAGGCTAGGCAAGCTGGGGCTGCTGCACCAAGGTACTGTGCTCCTTGTGCCAGGGAGCCCACAGGTTAGAGTGGAGATGCTACAAGCAGGGGAGACAAACAGGTCTGGTAAGATCAAAGGCTGGGTGGGAGGAATGAGAATGAAATCCTCTTTTGCCCAGGCTGTAGCAACAGCCACAGCTGACACCTGCTAGGTGCTGGACCCAACACTTGCTTGCAGGAAGCGAGGGGAGGTTTTTGGTTAAACCACTCCATGTTCTCACTTACTGTGCCTCATTCAGGGTCAGTTCAGACCCTTGAAGGTAGGACAGACGAGGGGGGCCAGCAGCTCCTACTTACAGTCCTGCCACTGCCGTGCTCTGCAGCCCCGCTGGGCATGTCCCTGCCACGCTCACTCAGCTCTCCCACAGCACAAGAACGATTTACGCCTGCAGGGCCACCATGGGACTCCATCTGCAGCTATCTGCAAGGTGCTTTCCAACCTACACATGATATGCAGTTTCTTGGGCTCAAAATACCATAAGCAGATCCCCTCCTCCTCTTATTTTTGCCAGGGGAAAGGGGAGCACCAAGCAGTGTTCCCACATCATGCATTGCTCCTGGAAGGTAGGTACTCCATGAGTGCTTGCTAGCTCAACCTCCTTCAGACCAGGTGTCCTGGTTTCAGCTGGGATAGAGTTAATTTTCTTCCTAGTAGCAGGCATAGTGTTGTGTTTTGGATTTAGTAGGAGAAGAATGTTGTTAACACACTGATGTTTTTTTTTAGTTGTTGCTTAAGTACTGCTTATGCTACTCAAGGACTTTTCAGCTTCCCATGCTCTGCCAGGCACACAAGAAACTGGGAGGGGGCACAGCCAGAATGGTTGATCCAAACTGGCCAAAGGACTATTCCATACCATATGACATCATGCTCAGTATATAAACTGGGGGGAGTTGGCTGGGGGGGCAGTGATCACTGCTCGGGAACGGGCTGTGTATCCGTTGGCAGGTGGTGAGCAATTGCATTGTGCATCACTTGATTTGTATATTATTATTACTGTTGTTATTATTATATTGTTATTATTACTACTACTATTTTACTTTATTTTGTTTCAATTATTAAACTGTTCTTATCTCAACCCAGGAGTGTTTCTCACTCTTACTCCTCTGATTCCCTCCCCCATACCCATAGTTGGTGTAGGCTATGGGTCAGGAACTGAATTCCCTCCTGCTTTAACTCTACTGAGGCCGAAGAAGGCTAAACCAAGAGGAACTGGGCTTGGGATGGGAGCAGACCAGAAGGCAGGGGGAGTGAGTGAGCAGCTGCGTGGTGCTTAGTTGCTGGCTGGGGCTAAACCATAACACCAGGGGGACCAAATGGGAACCAGACATTGCCTGTGGCCCTCTGGACACAAGGTAAAAGTTAGATAAAGCCCATTTCCATGGGATAACCTGGCTACTACACCTTCCAAGCTGAAACAGGCAGTGGGAAGGCCCTGTAAGACCTTTAGAGAGGTAGCTACCCATCACCTAGGCAATGCTGCAAGACTACTACAGCCACAGACCAGTTTGTATTCCCTGTCACTTGCTGAATAAAGTGGATTAAAACCAGCAATATATTCATAAAAGATTGCTATGAAGGCCATTTCACAGCCCTCGAGCTATCTCGTCTCCATCCATTTCTAGAGCGGGCATGTATCTGCATGAAGGTCACCCCTTCTGGGGACTGTGCTGCTAGGAAGAAATTAAAACGACAATTAAAATAGGATTTTTTTTTTTGTTGCAGCTCAATAAAATATAATCCTGGCTAAACAAAGTAAACAGTGAGCATGAATGAGTTCCTCTCTCCAGAGCACTGTCAAGCCGTCAGTCACAACCGGAGAAGACTGCTGGCTAAAAGACAGTCCGGCTTTTGAGGTTAGCATATGGATATGCCCTTTACTGAAACACATGCACAAGCACTGGCTGCCTGGGCTGCTTTCTAAAAAGGGAGGAATCTGCTTACTTAGCCCTGAAAGCTATTTTTGAGGCGTGATAGATCCCATATACATGCCCTGGTGTCCTTAACGCTAACTGGGAAACACTGCACATTCATGAGAGGGAGGCTAAGGCACAGGGCTGGGAACTGCGCAGTATTCCACTGCTGGCTCTGCCTTGAGATTGCTGTTGACATGACTGTCCCCGACAGGCCAGTCTTTCCCACTGCAAAGTGGACCCAGGAGTTTTAATGCATAAATAAAGGAACATACTTAGAAATATTTTGTTTGAGCTGGGTGAATATGTGGAAATAAGGGTAGAGCAGCATCTACCATTTAGATATTTCCTCATCCCTTTAAAGATCTGGATCTCCTGAGCCCAAGAACTTGCAAGCAAAGGCTCTTCTCAGGCTTTCAGTGACTTTTGCAAAGGCTGTGAAGCCCACCAGAGCAGCTGGTCCACTGCTGGCAATGGCAGGGACAACTGGAGTAGCTATGCACTTTGGTATCAAATGTTTCCCTGTATAAAGAGTATATGGAAGGATCATTGTTAGTGCCAAAACAAAAGGTTATGCATCAGAGAAGTTAGAAAAAAGCAAACCAGGTTTGACTCTCAAGTCACTCCACAGCCACCCCATACTACTGTGGTCCTCTGCAGCCCCAACAGCTGGCACTGGACACTTGGCCAAGCAGGGCTTTCAAAAGCTCTGCACAGCCCTGCAAGTCTGGCTCAGAGAGCCCGTCTGGAGGAAACAAATGCTGAACTGAACCTGTGCCAAAGGCTCTCCCCAGCCTGGTTACTTCGCTTTGCGTAAAATTCACAGCCCCGTCTTCCCAGGGAGGGCTTTGCAAGGCCAGGGGGGCCAGAGCCAGGATCTCCCTTTTACCCCCAGAAAAGGGCTGCTGGGACTAGAGAGGTGTTTTCACTTGGGCTTATCCATCGGGGCACCCCAGGGCTTCTGCAAAGAGACGGGGCCACTGCAGTGAGCGGGGGCCGTGGCACTTCTGGCCCTGCGGGGGCTGCCAAAGAGGTGCCAGGGGAGGGTGAATGCCCCAGGGCTGCGGAGGAGAGCCAGGGTGCCCAGCAGTCCCAGGGAGACAGCCCTGGGAAAAGGGGTGCTGCCCAGGAAAAGCTGTGTGAGCTGCTCTGGGAGGGACGGGATGAGGAGCGGGACCGACAGATTCCACTGAAACGTTCAATAATGCAGTTTTTTTACAAAGATTCCTGCACATCCGTGTAATCTAAATCTAACATGACACGGACTAAACGAGGACGTCACTTCTCTCCCCGCTGATTAGCCGTGATTGCTGCTGAGTGACACTCCAGCACGTGCCTCTGCGGCAAACGGGGCTCTGCTCGCCAGCCGGCCGGCCACGGGCTTGAAGCAGTGCAGGGCCAAGTACCCAGGGCACCCTGGGGGCAAGGGAGGCACCCCAGGCCCCCCCCCCGCCCTTCCCCTCATAGACAGAGAGGAGGTTTTTCTTTGTTGACTGTAAAGCAACTTTCCATAGCTGGTGACCAAGTTCTCCAATAACAGCTGCCAAAAGCAATCAGGCTGGATCACAACAGAGGGAGGAAAGTTATGTTATTTTAATAGAAATTATTTGGTTCCTAGGGTTCTGATCAAATTAGGCAGCTACTGAATTAAAGCAATGAAATTACTGGGAAGGAGGCTGTGCTCAACTTATTTCCAGTCCTCCCGGACCTGAAGAAGTAACAAAGGAAACCATCCAAACTGCTCCGAGGTGTTTCCTGTAAACACCCTAAGCTGATATTTGGGGAGCTGGGGACTTCTGCCTGCCACTAGCAATTTCCTAATTAGCCCAATATCCAATGGGCTCAGGCCATCCCTTGAGCAGCAGATTTGGCATCTCCTCCGAAAAGGAGTGGAGATTGAAGCTTGCGTGGCAGATGCTGCTCCTTTGATTTGCAGCACAGCTCAGGCGTGATGAATGCTTTTGTTTTCAGCTCTGCTTGCAAACCTGTCAGACTTGAGCTCCTCTCTGCACCCTGTGTGCCCACCCTTATCTTTTGACAAATGTTTCTTTAGTGCAAATTCAACTGTAATCATATCTGGAATTGAAGGAATAAGAAAAATACAGGAGGTGTACATCACTCCACAGTGGGATCAAGAGAGACCGGCATAATGGGGATTTTGGGCAATGAAGGGGGCTCAGTATTACCACATGTAAAATCCTGTCATGGGAAGAGGAGATGAAGAGTGCAGAGCCAGAGCTGAAGGTGAGGAGGGAAATGCTGCTGATGCTTATTGTGCCCTGGTAGCACTGCCCTGGCGCTGGGCACACCCCTGGGACCCCCCAGGACAGGAGGTGGAGAGCACCCGGGTGCGTGTACTGAGGGGCAATGCATGGCCTGATCCTGCACAGAAGGGGACACCTGTGCAGCCCTGCACCCTCGTGCACCCTAGGCAACACCGCCCCACGCCCCAGGAGTGCCGCTCCACGCCCCAGGAGTGCCACCCAACCTGCAGAAAAGCCTTGTGCTCCCTGGTGCATCAGGACAACCCAAGCCCCAGAGCTGCCCAGCGAGAGGGTCGAGTCACGGTCCTGGACCAGCCAGAGCTGCATGTTCTGCTTTGCAACCCGGGCTGGGTCATTTCCCAAAACCGTGGGGAAAAAAATCTGGAATATGGGAAATGCACTTAGATGTCAATCAATCACTGTCCTGTTCCTAATGCATTGCTCTTAACTAGTTCCTGCTGGACACAAACACCATGAGCTGGGGCTGTCTACAACACAGCAAACACAAACAAGAGGGGCTGACCGAAGGGGACAAAAACAGAGCCAGAGCAGGCAGAGGAAAGGCGAAAAAGCACTTACCTTGTGTGAGCAGCAGGGCTGTGGGGAGAGAACACAAGAAAGACAGGGAGAGAGAAGAAAAGAGGGAAAAAGTTAATATCCAAGGGGGAAAAGCAGTTTTGCAGATGATGGCTGTCAGTGAGCAATGGACGTGGTGCAAGGCGGTGTGTGAACTTGCCAGGGCTGCATGCCGGGCGCAGGCCGGGGAGCAGACCCCGCAGCAGTGACATGGAGAGGATGCTGGTGAGCACCAGGGTGCTGGCTCCCCAAAGTCACACCCCCGCAAGCGAAGGCAGAGGGATGGAATGCAGGGGGGGAGCAGCGAGGAAGGGAAGGGAAAAGTAGGGGGGGACAGTTACACTTGCCGTCGGGGCCTGACGTGGCCCAAACTGACCTGAAGGCACAGGGGGTGCCCCCACTTCAGCTGGGAATATGTGGTTGTGGCAGGGCTTGGCACAAACAGGGAGGCCCCGGTAAACCCGTGGGTGGCTGAGAAGACAGGGTGGCCAGGAGTGATGGGCAGCTCACTGAGAAGAGCATCATCGGGGAAGGTGTTGATAAAATGGGTGCTGGCCTCTAGCGTGAAATGGGGCAGGGGGTAATGTGGCTGTGTGTCACACCCCCCGGGATGCCCTGGCTTGCCTACGCCTGTCCTGCGCCCCACAGGTACCGCTCCCAGAGGGTCAGGCTGCCGAGAAGAGCACACATAAAGCATCGCTGCTTGAGTCCTCCTGGCTCTCTTTGCTCCCAATTGCAGGTCTGCCCGATAATGCTGCACGGGCGTGTGACGTGCAATGTCATCGCAGCAGGATGCAGCTGCCTCCCGGGAAATGTGACCGTGTGGTCCTCTGAGATCAGAGGTGGGAGGAAGGGAGGAGAAAGGGGCAAAGGTCCTTGCAAGGGACAACCTTATCCTGCCTTTCCGTACAGGCACAGCCCTCTTGCTGCCTTGCACTGTGACCTCCTGGCCCTGCCCGCCTTGATTTCCCCACTCCCCAGAGCTGTCACCAAGAAACGTCCAGCTGGATCCCTCTTAGGTGTTACCCTTAGAAAGCCACAGCCTGCGTCCAAGTTTCAACTAACTACAGGAGCGTCTGTATAGCAAAAAACACTGAACCCTCTTCAACAGGGGCCAAGCACCAGCTCTGTGCCTTAGCTTTGACTTCTACCTGACCTTCAAACAGCAAACTGGTCCCCAAAGACATGGTTGCATGCAATGACGGTTTTGTAATTACTAACACTTATTATCATGCACTTTTAGTCTCAGAAGCTTAAAACTCTGTACAAAGACTGAGTCAGTATTAACAGCCCCATTTGACAGATGGTGAAGCAAGCAGAGAGAGGCTAAAGAGAACATTTTGCGAACTCAGAAGTGGGCTGGAGTCCAGAAGTGCTAATTTACCCAGGCTTGCCGGTTCAGGCCTCTGAAAAGCAGGCACTTTTATACAGAGGCACCTAATTGTATCCATGCTGGCTTGAACGTGATTTCCTAAGCGATTCGTCAAAGGTCGCACAGCGCATCAGTAGCAGAGCTGGGGAAAGTAATCCTGAGTCCTGGCTCCCAGTCACGTCTCTGCTCTGTCAGGCAGCACCCACGGGCACAGCTTTCCCAACAGCCTGCGGAGAGGCATCAGCCCAGTCAAGATCTTCATCCACCTGTCCATCTCCCCAGCTGGAAATAGCCTGGGCACTCGGGGAGATCTCCCTTGTCCGTGCGGGCAGGTAGAGGTGCAGTGAAAGGGGAAGGGGCAACAAAGAGGCTCCTTGCTGAGCATCCCTCGTGTTTCAGGGGCAATTCCTTTTGAGAGTCAAAAACCTCTGGGGGAACCATTTGTGAATACATTCTGCAGCATGTACAGAGCCACGAGAAGCACACAACCTGCTCTGCCCGCACCACCTCTTGTCCTCCACCCAGCTCTGTCTGGAAGTCTCCAGCAGGCCTGCCACTGCTCCTTGCGGCACCAGTCTTGAGTCTCCTTGTAGCTCCATCCTGCTGCAGTTCCATGCTAACCTGTAGCCTCCTTACTATTCCACGGTCTTCTGGTTCTCCAGACAATGTGGGGAAATTTAATTTGCCTTTTGCAATTACAAGCATTAGTACAATGGGTCGATTCAGTGTTCAAATTTAATATAATGAAATATTACTGGGCTCCTAAGCTACTGTGGTTATTAAAAAAAAAATAAAATCATTGGTTCCTCATGAGTTTTAAAACTGTTATTCTAGTGCTCTGGGATTTGAGTTTATTTTTTTCCCCATTTGCTTTTGAGCCTGCAAAAGACCTATTTTTCTCCCTTTCACTTATAATATGATACATGAATATTTGAAGAAGCCTATAAAGCTATGAATGAAACATCAAGAATACAGCATGCAGAAAGCCAAGGGATTATTTTATCTTTATATTTCTTAGTGAATGCTGTGCATGCAAGCAAGAAAATGATTTCACGGACTAAAGCTTCCTTCCTGCACATGCATCTGCTAACGTGCCCTTAGCCCTGACCTGTAATGTTTCCTGACAGTCCATCTGGGGATGCTGTACCTGTACCAGCCCCGCCAATGGCCCCCATGCTGCTCCCATCCCACAAGCCTCCCTCCGCTGCCCCCAGCCCGGGCTGCATCCCTCCATCCCTCCCCAGGGCACTCTCCTCCTCCTGCGCTCCTGCTCTGCACGTCATGCTCCGCATGGGGCCAAGCCAGGCCACTTCATTGCTGCTGGCATCTCAGGTAGTCTCAGAGGCTTGACATGCGTATTCTTAGAGGGAGCTGCTAAAATTAGCTCCGCAGTCAAATCCAAAATAGCAGTCCCAAGTACCCCTCACCTAACCCTTGCACGGCGTGAGCACAGACACACACCCGTGCCCGCAGACAGGGTAGGTGACGCTGACTCTCTCAGGAGACCCAAAGCCTTCAGCTCTGGATCCCAGCTCCTCCTTTACTGTGATTTCTCTGCCCTACAGGCCTGGTTTTTACTAGGTGAAGTCAAAATTGTGTGCATGAACTCTGCTTCCCCTGCCACCCCTGAAACTGGACAATTTAGACCTGAATTTAGCTGCTAAAAAAAAAGCTAATTACTAATAAACAATTTCATCTGCATGTTTTCAATGTATTTTGGGGTGAAATCCTGCTGTGACATGTATGTTGGTGTGGGCTATGGGTCAGGAACTGAATTCCCTCCTGCTTTAACTCTACTGAGGCCGAAGAAGGTTAAACCAAGAGGAACTGGGCTTGGGATGCGAGCAGACCAGAAATTGGGCGATCCTGTAAATCCTGTGCTAAATGGGTGTCCCGGCCTTTTTCTAAACAGTGAAACACCTTTTTCTGCTGTTTACCTCAGAGAGAGATTTGACCACACTGCATGCTTTATTCTGGATTCATTCTTCATTAACATAAATCTTTTCTAATCAATATCCCTAAAGACTCCAGGAAGCCACTGCATAGATAACAGGATCCTTGTTAAAGGCTTCGGATTTACAGAGTGAGCTGAAATGAGGGAGAGGAGGCTGGATCTTGAGGAGACTCTCAGTCACACAACAGGGCAGTCACAGGCAGCAAAAGGCAAGGAGAACACATTGCCTGCACCCCGTGCGCACCCAAAGGAGCTCAGTGACCATGCAAATGGCAGGCTCAGTTCCCCAAAGAGGTAAGGATCCCCCATCTTCCAGATGTTACTGTCCACAGGCTCTGCCTCCAGATTTGCTCACTGAGGTGAGCAAACTGTTTCCCTAATGGACTGTGAAGAGCTATAAACATGGTTTTTTTATAGGCTAAACAAGGCAGAGATTTTGCAGCATTAACCTGAATGCTGTTATTATTGAAGTCAATAGCAAAGCTCTTGCAGACTTCAAGAGACTCCTCTCCATCAGGAGAATCAGCAGCATCCAGCTTAATCACAGAGCTGCAAGCAAATTATTAAACCTTCGGGGAAGGAGGCAACAGCAATCTAACATTTCTTTGCTATTCCCGTCAGCGGCTGATAGAAGGAGTGTCTCAGCATCTGCCCACACTTCAGAAAACTGCAGCATGTGTGCTCACGTATCGATGCAGCTTATCTTATCCAGGCATGGACTTTTGTACCAAGTCACATCATTTCATCAATATTTTGATATAGATAACTTGCTGGATCAATCCAAGCCAGGAATCCTTCTTCCTTTGCAGTTTAATCCTTAGTCTGTGACTCCCAGCCCCATCCTCCCTCTAGGGTATGAAGCTTTCCCATCAGGGATGCTGACACTTGATTAAAAGGAGATGTGTTACGAGATTTGTCCACACCGGTTGACTCTGTGCTGGGAGGGCTGAGAGGACTTCACAAAAAATCTTCCCAGGCCAGGTCATGCCAGCAAGCTGTTTAATAGTGCTTGCCAGCCATCTGTGCTCCTGTTTCCAGTGAAGCTGTATCCTGTGGGAGACATGCTTTCTGAAGCAAAATTTTGCATGAGGATGTTGATCCCTTTTACGAAGCATAACCCTCAAGACTCAGCCTTCACACACAAGCCCTGAGGCTGAATCTTCCACCACTGTGCCACGAGCTGAATTCTCATGAGCAGACTCCCAATTACGCTCATGAAACATAATTTTCCAAATGCTATTTTCACCATTATCTGCTATCAAGTGAAATCTTCCACAGTAGCCTCACTTGCCATTTGTGCTCCATCAACACTAAGGTTAACCACAATTTAAGCAGAAGACCGACTGTATCCAGGGAAAGCAAAGCAAGTTTTTCTCCTGTAATTCAGGACTGCGGACAAAGTGTGCAAGCTGATGTGTGAAGAAAGTATTTCTCCAAAATCCTCCTGGGCTGACAGCAGCAAAATCCTTGGTCCAAGTTCTGAGCTGACATGATACCAGAGCTGCCATGAGAGCAAGAGTCAAACCAACAGACAGCATCTTGTCATAAAGGAAAAGACTTGTTTCACTGCAGGAACACTTTAAAAAGGTGCTGAAAAATAGGTGGCCAGAAAGATGGCTCAGGGTACTGGGAGGTTGGAAAGCTCTGCAGTGCTCAGTAGACAGGGATTCAGTTTACGTGACCGCACATATGGAG